ATAAAAATTACCTTTGTTCTTGAACTCCTTCAAAACCGACGATGTATGAGGAAATCAATTCCCGGTTTGGTAACGATCACTTCTTGTGGTTACTCACTTTAGGAATCTAAACGTCTTCCCTCTAATCGTATCCACCTTTTGAACTTTGCCTCCGATTATAGTTTCTTCGCTAGTAGAAACTACTCAATTTTTCAATAAGTATAGAATATAAATTTATAAGGAAATTTTACAAGAACTCTTTCTTGTTTTATCACTCAACTCTTTGAATGTTTTAATCTTTGGAAGAACTTAACCAAAAACTTAGCAAAATTGAACCTCAAATATGTCCATATTTATACTAAACATTTTAGTATAAAATAATAATATTAGGTAGAATATTTTCATAAAATATAAAAAGTCTTCAAGAATATTTTTCATAAAATATTAATTTGAAGAAGACTATTCCTACCCAATATTGTATTAATAAAAATAAGATTAATTACGTGGATTGGTTAACAACTCCAAACCACCATAATTAATTTATTCTTATTAATAATTAATCTTCAATCATATTAAAGATAAATAATAAAATAATAATTCTTTATTCTAGCGTTGCTAGCGGGATTCTAGGCGGGCTTCTGACCTGTCCTCCCATTTTATTCTCCCGTTGGGAGCTTTGTATTTTTATTCGCACATTTGTGTGCTTTTGATTTATAATAGTACCTCTGTCGTTTCGGAAAAAAAAAAAATAATAATTCTTGAAAACATTTTTTCAAGACTTTATTATTTTAATCTACTCTTCCATTTTCTTATTTAATAATCTTATTATTATTTGGATTTGAAATTTAAAATCCAATTTTAAATTCCAACTATTATTTAGTAATTCTATTAATTACTAAATTAATATCCAAAATTCAATTAATCAATCTAATTTATTAATTTAATATATTCCTTTAATTGATATCTAATCAAATTAATACTATTTGAATTTTACCTTCATTCAAAAATTGGTGTGACCTTTTAGGTTCACAATTAATACTAGTAGTGAGTTTACAACTCTTTGTAATTTTAGTTAATCTTATTAACTCTTATTCATGAATTAACTCATTATTCATAAACCCACATATCATGGGAACATCTAGCAAGTAGCATGAATCTAGTATTAAGTGAATAGCGATTAGCGAGTAAATCTATTTCGATTACAAGTCCATACATGTAAAATCCTTTCGACATCCAATTTCCCGGTTAAATCTTTGGGTATGATTTTGTCGAAACCCAAATTGATTTAATAATTATGATTCCATTCAAGTTTTAGTAATTCGTTTATGAATCTCTATTCATTCCGCCTTGGCCAAGGACTTTGAATTACTAACTATAAAACACATAGAAAATTCACTTATCTTGATAAGTGTCGAATCCTTTGTTGGCCACTGACAAACTTCCATACATATTATAATACCCAAAATATCTCTTTATACGATTGTGCTAGCAATCAAAAGGATAAATCAAAGTAAAATATAATATGCACAAAATTACCATCGTGCCTCAAGTCTAAGGATTAATCATGTACTATTGTAACATGAAAATTCTTATTCGACATGATAAACTTTCATTAAGAATTTTCATACGATCATGTTCAGTGAACTTGTTCTCTAACAATCACCCACATATATGTATTTGCGTCCCACGCTAATGTTGATGGAATGCAACATTCTTATCTAATAAGCATACATACTATGTGCAAGTCTTTTTCGGATTTATTCGATATTCCATCTCGAAACATCCAACGACTTGGAACTGTATTTAAGATCACAACTTTCAATATATGCTCCATGATCACCATCTCTATGCGCAACCATATCTTATAGCTATAAGTGATCTAGGGATTTTATCTTAAGTGCAAATATTTGATAAATGCTTACTCTTAAAATAAAGTAATTCCTTATTATTTTATATAATTCCAATAGATTGTATTTACAAGTAGAATACATCCAATCTGATTGGAACGCCGGGTATACTACTCTAACAGTGCACGAGCCATAGGAGGAGACCTTGCTTCACGTGGTCAAAAGCAAGAAGAGAAGGCCGAAGATGATACGATTCACGACCGAGATACTTGAAGAACTGGTAGATGTATTCGTTGATAGCGGCTCCACACTAAACTTCATAGATGAAGAGCTGACAAAGAAGTTGGAGCTGTCATTCACAAGGGTTAAGCCATTTGGGGTCAAGGTGGCCAATTGAGATGAGCTCAGGGGCGACATGCTTTTCAAGAAGGTCCCGATACTAGCACAAGGCTACGAAATAGAAATTGATCTTTATGCCTTGCCATTGAAAGCAACTGATGTGGTCTTAGGAGTACAATGGCTGGAGACGTTGGGTCCCGTTACGACCGATTACAAGAGTGATGCTATGGAGTATGGTCGTTCGAGGAAGAGAGTCAAGCTGCGAACTGAGGACCCGGGAGAGTCACCAGACGAGAAAGACGAGGAAATCGACGTGATCAACTTCATCATCCTTTAGGACAAGTAAGTACTTGAAGAGAAGGGGAATGATGCGGAAGTGGTCATCGACCCTAGTGAGCCCGAGGATGAGTCTTTTGAGGACCTCGAGAGTTGGCTCGAGAATGGCCAAAAGAGCCACAAATCGAGGAGTATTGGCTAATTTTTAGGCGAGACTGGCCAGGGGTTCTGGGAAGAGAGCACGATCACGCAATAAGAGGTGCATGGCTAGATGAACCAAGAAGAGACGTACAGCTAGTACACACGAGGAGACGGAGTGGGCTGATGCCGAATACGTAGTGCCGGGCAAAGTAGGTGATTGGTGCATGGCATACGCAAGGAAGCGACGTGCATGGCGAATGGAGGCTAAGATTGTAATATCCCGACTTTTTATCAGTATAATAATATTTTAGTTCCGATACTATTTTTTCGGAATTAATTATTTTCAGTTATTTCAGTCAAAATTACCGGAAACTATTTTCGACGTACCGTTTACGTTCGAAATAATTTTGGTAATTAAGCATTATGTTTAATTGGATAATTA